CATTCCTCCATTTCCCTCCAGCCACCCCATTCCTCCATTTCCCTCCAACCATCCCATTCCTCCATTTCCCTCCAACCATCCCATTCCTCCATTTCCCTGCAGCCATCCCATTCCTCAATTTCCCTCCAGCCATCCCATTCCTTGTTTTCCCTCCAGGCACCCCATGCCTGATTTCCCCTTCAGGCATCCTGTATCTCAGCTTCCCTGCAGACATCCCATTCCTCCATTTCCCTCCAGCCATCCCATTCCTCACTTTCCCAGCCCGTAACCTCGAGCCGCGCTCACCGCTGGAAAACCGCGCTCCTCCTGCCCCACCTGGGAGCAAACCAGCGCGTTCTTTAGCCGAGAGGTGCTGCCCCGTGCCCTCCTTCACCCTCCTCTTCCTCCCTCAGTGCCCGCTATGGCCACTGGCACAAGAACAAGGCTCCGGGCGAGTACCGCAGCGGGCCCCGCCTCATCATCTTCATCCTGGGCGGGGTGAGCATGAACGAGATGCGCTGCGCCTACGAGGTGACACAAGCCAGCGGCAAGTGGGAGGTGCTAATAGGTGAGTGGGGACCCCCCCGGGCCCACCCCTGGGTGCTGCCTGTGCTCATCCCACGCTCGCATCCCGCCAGTTCCCAGCTCCAGACGTCTGCGGGAGCTGGGACTCGGCGGAAGGGTTTTCTCCTCGTCGCTCCCATCCGGGTTGTGTCACTCCACCCATCCTCATTTTGGCTCTCTGTTTTTTTGTCTCTCTGGTTGGCTTGGCCTGAGCGGGGCTGGGTGAAAGGGAAGGAAGTTTTGGCAGCTCCTGTTGCACCTGTGTTGCTTGTTCTTGGGGTCATTAGAGGAAGGAAAAAGCAAACCACGCGTTGTGCAAGTGGCAGATGTGTTTTCCTGTTGGGCAGGACAAGGTCTCACGGGTGGCATTTACCCCAGCAGCGGGTCCCTCACCCCAGGCAGGGATCAGAGGGGTGAAACCTCCAGCTCAGCTCATGCCCCTGAGCTTCCCAGGAGGGGAATCCTGGGCACAGCCCTCCTGAGGGGTTCTGGGCAACAGGACATTTGTGTGCTCAGTCTCAGCATCCCAGAGGAGCTGTGGGTCAGGCAGAGAGGACACAGTGGAAGCTCTACCAGATGTTAGCAAGGAGCTTTTAAGTGCCCTAAAATTCCTCAGGGAAGCACAGCCTGGATACACACCTTGTAGGGCAGGGGCAGGTTCCCCTCAGCGTCTCATCTGGATTCCTGGTCCCTGGACTCTTGCCCAGGATGGCTGGTGGAGCCTGTTGTTGGCATCTCATCAGCTCCTTGGGAGCAGCATCCCATCTCCATGACCTCCTGCTGCCCATGGATGTGTCCCCCTGTCACTGGACACCCATCCCATCCCATCCCATCCCATCCCACCTCTCTCCGGGGACCACCCCCTGCATGCGCCTCCGATGCTCTGGGTCCACCCGCGTCCTTCCTCACCCCAAAAGCAGGTGGTGGTGGTGGGGGGAGCCTCGGCACGGCCGTCAGCCCCGCTCTGTTCTCCTGCAGGTTCTACTCACATTCTCACTCCCACCAAATTTCTCATGGACCTGAGGCACCCCGACTTCAGGGACTCCACTAGGGTATCATTTGAGGATCAGGCTCCAGCAATGGAGTGAGCCAAAGAAAACCAAGTAAAGGCAGCTTATTAATGAAAAAAGAAACTCTTCCTCCCCGAAGGGTTTTCTTTGATTCTTCCGGTCCTCCTCTCTTTGGTTGTTGTGTTGGGTCCTGGGGGGTTCTCCGATAAGAAAATGCTTGCGGTTCCTCCTCCCAGGTGGAAAAGCATCCAGTGTCGCTCCATCACCCCTCTGCCATGTCTCTTGGCCGGGCCTGGCCGGCTCCTTCATGCCACGAGTCCCCCCCCTCGCCAGGGCTGGGGGCGGCGGGTCGGGGTCCTGCCTGCCCAGGGAGGTGTCCCAGGGCTGGGCAGGGGGATGGAACACCCCGGGATGCTGCTGCTGGAGCAGGGCTGGGGGTTCAGTGCCCGGGGAAGAGCAGGCAGCAGTGGGCACAGGGTGGAGACCCCAGCACAGGCTGGGCACTGCCATGGTTGCAGGGCTGGAATCCCCAGGCAGCTCAGGTTTGCTCTTGCAGCAGTTGAACCCCTTGGATGGGCAGGAGCCCCCTGAGGTTGTAGACCCCCAGACCTTCTGCTGGGGTTTAGCTGCTGGTGGTTTTCCTGGTGAGACTCCCCACGGCATCCCCTGTGTGCTGGTCCCTGCAGGGCACGGGCTGGCGTGGGCAATGTGGTGGGTGCAGCAGAAGGCGAGAGCCCTTTTCCTCCTCCCCTCTCACCCGTCCCCTTCCCAGCCACCCCTTGATTCCAGGATGCTCCCTGCAAGCTGGGGGACCTGTGGAATGACCCTCCATGCCTACTGCTCCCTGGGGACCTACGGAATGTTCCTCCATGCCAGCTGCTCCCTGCTGCCCACCCACATCCCCCACCTCACCCTCCTGCATCCCCAAAGGTTCCAGTAGCGACCCCGCTGCCACGACCCCCCTGCACAGGCACCTCCCTGCCCCTTCCTCGTCCCACCAGCTCCATCCATCGCCTTCATCCCTCCCTCTCCCCCCCTTTCCCGTTATCCACGCCCCCACACGCCCCTTCCCCTTCCCCACAGACGTGCATTTCCCCGCAAGCATTTCCAGCGGCGCGGGGCCGGCGCCGCCAGGTAAGGGGGGCCCGGGACAGCGGGGAAGGGGAGGTGTCCCAAACCCATCACTGATTCCTCACCCCCCCGCCCCTTTTCCTCTGCTCCCACAGGGTCCACGCACATCCTCACCCCACAGAAACTGCTGGACACGCTGAAGAAACTCAATAAAACAGAGGAAGAGAGCAGCAGTTAAAAGGAAACGCCGTCACCACTCGATGCCGACCCACGTCCCCGCCGGGCTCCCGGCCCCGGGTGCCACCCTGCACCCAGCGGGCACAGCTTCTCTCTCTTGTTCTTGTGTTGACCCCTCCCCTCCCCTCCCACTGCCTCTCCTCCCCCCAACCCATCTCATTTTATCCACAGGGAGGGGACAACAGCCAAAAAAAAAAAAAATAATATATATATATATATTAAGAAAGTGGATGCATTGTGTTTAAGAGAAAAAGGAAAAAAAAAAAATCTATATATTTGTAGCTGCAGCCGTGGGAAGCGCCCAGGAGCTCGTTGCTGAGTAACCATCTGCCCATTGCTAGTGAATATGGTGGGAAAATAGTGGGAAAACACCGTTTTTTTGGGGAAGTTGCTCCTCATTGGGGTCCTGTGTGGGTGGAAGGATGGATGGACGGACACCCCACATCGCTCCAGCCGGCGCAGGATGGGGGGTCCCCGCCACCACCTGCTGTCCCATGGCTTTTTGGGGTGGTGGGAGCCCCTGCCAGCTGTGCCCGGGGGTGGGTGGGGGTGTGAGGGAGGTGCAGCCGGGACGCTTCACGCTGTGGCAATTCCCATGTGAAAAGGGACCAAAACGGTCAAAACTTGGAGATGGGGCTCGTTCGCTTGCACGGCCACTGCTCTGCCCTGCTCAGCCTGACCTCCTCCTCTCCGGGGACTCCTTCAAATATATATATATATATATATATAAAAATTACTTTTTTATATATATATATACAGAATATCTACCCCTGGATACCTCTCCATCCATCCCAAAGGAAGCTCAGTGCCCCGTGCCCGGCCCCACTCGTGTCGTCCCGTGGTGAAGCGTTTCTGAGCCTGCCGTCGCCCCGAGACCCCCCCCCCCCAAGCCCTCTGGCCCCCCCTAACCCCCCCGGCCCCCCCCACCCCCCTGGCCCCCCCCCAAACCCTCTGGGCCCACCCCAAACCCTCTGGGCCCACCCCAAAGCCCTCTGGGCCCACCCCAAAACCCTCTGGACTCTGTGTATATTAATGACTGTGTCTCGTGACGTTCTTACAAGCTTGGTGTATAGTGATTTCCCCAAACCTCTTGATTTTAGTTGGGCTTTTTTTATTTTCCACCCCCTGGATTGCCCCCCCCTTCCCCTGCCATTAGATGCACTGCAATATTTTGGGGTCTATGGTTTTGTTCTCTCTCCTCCCAAAGGCTGTGACCCCCCCCCCTTTTCCTTCCCCCAAATTGCTCTTTCTTGCCTCGTTGGTGGTTAGTCCCCCCTTCCCTCCCCGTCTGCTCCTTGCCCATAAAGTTAAATATATATTTTTAGGGCAAAGGCTGTATCATTGCACTGATATTTGTTGGTTCCCCCCCTCGGTCCTCCCAGCCCGTTTTTGTTCCTTCTTGGTTTAGCAATGCAAATGCTTCAGGATCTTGTATGTTGGACATTATTATAATTATTATTATTTTTTTTTCTGTTACAGTTATTTATATAAAAAATAATTTATCAAAAAGGAAAACTTTAAAAAAAAAATAATCTAGTCTGTCTTGGAACTTGTTTACCTTGAAATTACTGGAATCTAAATGTTTGAAAGTGTTGAAGCACAAACATGTATCATCTCTGTATATCTGTTCTTCTGTACTAAAGCACTCGAGTGACTAAATAAAAGCGATCTCCATCCCTAGTGCAACTGGGGCTGTGCTGTGCCACTCGTTGGGGGCCAGGAAAACAGGGAAAAGATGTAGGGAAATACCCCACACACCTCCAAGAGAGGGATCCTGGTGTGGTGATGCCAAAACTCCCCCTGAGAAACGGCTTTGGAAAGGAAAATAAGCACACAAAGTCATCCAACAACATTTATTTCCTTGAAAAATAGGTGATTTCTTAGTACAAAATACCAGCCCAGTGGCTCTGCTGGGCGTTAAAAAATAGGGGATGAGGAAAAAAAACCCATCATTTTTCTGGCTGCTGCATTTGGGATCGTTAAACGTGCTTCCCATCGTACCCTGGCTGGGCTGGGGGGGGGTCACAGCTTCCAGTTTGGGACACAGGCACGAGCAGAGGCAACCAGAGACACAGAAATCCTCTTTAAAATCCCCCCAATCCACCCCTCTCCCCCCACAAAGGGGGGAGGGAGTCAGTCCCATTCCCAGCCCCTCCCTGGGGGGTGCAGGATCAGGCTCAGGGATTGCTCAGGAAGGCTCCGGACCTGAGGAACTCTCTGGGGGTGGCACTGATCCCACCCCCCCCAAATGGGGGTCTTTGTACCACAAATAAAAGCAAAAATAAATACATTTGACACTGGCACTTCAGGTAGGTCCTACAGATAAACAGAGCTGGGGTGCCACAGGAGGTGCTGGAGGGGTTTGACTGGACCCATCCCAGGAAAAGCTGCTCTGACCACATCAAATTCCTTAAAAAAAATAGGCATTAACTCATTACAAACCCAGCTGGGAGGGACAGGGGCTCTGCAGACCCCTCAGCACCACGTCTACCCCCAACTCAGTCTTGCAGGGTGATTTTTCCCTCTACCAGGCTGCATTCCCTGGGAATCCCAGGGGAAAACCCCAAATCCTTAATTTCATTTTCGTCCTGGATGATGCTGTGGGTGGCCACATCCAGGGCTGGGCAAAAAAAGCCCCACAAATGCCCTAAGGGTTGTGCTGGAAATGAAAACCAAAATATATATATATATATATACATATGTATCTATGTAAAGATGTATCTATAGATGCAGATCTGTGTATATACAGATTTATATATAGAGATATCTCTGTCTTTCTAGAGATATATATCTAAATATAGACAGACATGGATTTATCTCTGTCTAGATATATCCATATATAGATACATATATATAGGCACACATTATATATCATCAATCAACCCTCAAAGAGTGGTTTAGCTGCTTACTGGCTGTCTTGGGGAAAAAATAAATCACAAAAATCCCACACAAAGAAGGGTTTCCCCAGAAAGGATCCCGCTGGGTTCAAGTCCAAGGGCAGAGCAGGAGGGGGACACATGGGTTAAGCCCCCAGAGGAGGCCTAAAATCTGGGAAAGGGATGGAACAGGGAATCACAGGTATTTCTGCCCATGCAGGCACAGAGGTAAACACAGCTGCCAAGGGGGGCTCGACCTGTGCAGGACCTACACCAGGTCACAGCAGCCCCAGAAGTGCTTAGGTTGGGGTGGCCACTGCCTTAGGGGGGGACACGGGGCCACCCCCTTGGTCCCAGGGGATGGTGCTCATTCCCCAGGGTGCTGCAGGTCCCAGGAGATCCCTGCCCACACCCTCCCCCCTCCTGCAGCTTGAGTGGTCCTGAAAACAGACAGACAGACAAGCGATGCAGGAACTCCAGGGCAAGCAGGAAGGGGGTGGGAGCCAGGGCAGGACCCCCTGGAGATGCCTCCAGCCCTGGTGCCCCCAGATCTGGCACTGGGAGCACCCAGTGCTGGCATGCTGATGGTGAGGGGACCGTCCTCCTCCTCCTCATCCCTGCCTGCTGTGAGGGCAGGGATGGTTTGGAAGGTGCCAGTGGAACCCTCAGAAGAGGCAGGAGGCCCTCAGATCCCTCAGAAGAGGCAGGAGCCCTGCAGAAGACCCTCAGAAGAGGCAGGAGCTGCGTAGATCCCGTGCCCGGCCCAGCTCAGCGGCCAGTGCCCGGCTCATGCGGGTGGTGGTCACCCTGACACTCTGGGCAGCCTCCACGGCCCGGCTCAGGGACCAGTTGAGCTCGTCCAGCTCCTCCAGGTCCAGGCTGAGGCAGCGGTGGCGGGGCTGTGCCCGGGGGGGTCGCTGTGCCCGCCGGTTTCCCCCGGTGAGGTGCAGGGGGACCGCGGCCGTGGCGGGGGCTGAGGTAGGTACCGCTGGGGAGCAGTAGCTGGAAGGAAGAAGAAGGGGACATGGGCTCAGTGTTGCTTCTGAGCCCCCTCCCCAGGCTCTGTGCCCCCCCCTCTGCCTTGTTTTCATCCCTCTCCTCCACCTCATCCACCCCCCCCCCTCTCCAGGACCTTCCCGCTCCGCTCAGACCCCTCCCCAAAGGAGCTGCGGCTGTGTCACCCCATTCCCACCCGGATGGGATCTGTGGGCAAACCAGCAGGTCCTTGGAGCAGGCACAGCCCTGCCTGGGTTCACCCTGCACCCCTGGGGGATGCTGACCCACCCTGGACCCCCTCTCCACCTGCCCGCAGAGCATCCTTACAGCACGGAGGGCACGTAAGGCACGAGGGGGACGGGGGTGAGGCAGACGGTGGCAGCCGTGGCAGCAGGACCGGCTGCCAGGTACCAAAATCCGGGCTGATCCGGCTTCTCGGCTCGGGGACCAACGTGGGAGCCTGGGGACGATGTGGCACTGGGACCACGCTCTGCTGTGGGGAGAGAGGAAGGTGGTTGGGGGGTGAGGTGTCCCCAGGAGTGTTAGATGTCCCCAGGGGTGCTGGATGACCCCAAGGGGTGCTGGATGACCCCAAGGGGTGCTGGATGTCCCCAGGGCTGTGCATCAAGTGGCAGCCCCAGGTGACATCACCCCCTGGGCAGCCACTGCTGGTGGGAACACCCATACCCGCAGGTGGCACTGCTGGCTGTCACCTCTGTCCCCAAGCACTGTCAGGGAGCTGAGGGCTGTTCCCTGCCCACCTCCCACACAGGGATAGGCTGTGCCAAGCACGTGTCACCCTCGTCACCCACCATGCGCGGCTCTGTCCCTGCTGCCTGGCACGGGGGAGCCCAGGGGTGCCCGGCAAGTGGGGCAGCGTGTCCTCCTTGGGGTGCTGTGCTGGGGCTGCTGGGTGGCATCACTAGCCCGGAATCCACCTGTGGAGAGAGCAGAGAGGAAATCGGGAATGTCCCGTGCAGAACAAGGGAGGGATGCTGGGGAAGAGCAGAGTGGTTTTGGGGGGTGGCTGGGATGGGCTGGGAGGTGGGGTGGGGGCTGCTGCTGCAAAGGGGGTCTGCAAAGGCAGGTATCCAGGACAGGCTCCCACTGCTCCCAGTGACACCAGTGGCTGCAGCCCCAGGGCAGAGGGGTCTGGCCGAGGGGCAAGGGAGAGCCTCAGGTCATGAGGAATGGGATCCCCCCTCCCCGAGCCTCTGTAATTAATGAATAAGTCATTAGCAGCTCTGTTAGCAGGTGGCAGGGAAGGCCAGAAGTGGCTGGGGGCTTCTCCCCACTCACCCGATGATGTCCCGCTCCTGTGACATCGGGGGCACCCCGCGGTGCCCGATTCCTCTCGGGGTGCTGGGGCAGCACGTGGTGTCCCCCCCTGGTACCGTGTCCCTGCCAAAACCCAGCGTCAGCACGGCCGGGGACCCCAAAGTGGGGGTGGCCACCCCATCCCCCAGCACTGACCGCCAGCAGCACCCACCTGTGTACTGTCCCCGGAATGTCACCGCTCCCGGGGGGCTCCCAGGGTGCTTCCGCAGGGAGGGGCGTGCCCGGGGCCCGGCGGGCGAGGGGTCCGACTCGGAGGCTGTGGCAGAGGAGAGAGAAGTGGGGTGGGATCCGGTGGGTCCGAGCCCCAGATCTGCAGGACCCACTGCGCGGGTCTTATGGGACCACCAGGACCTGCCTGGTCCCCGCAGTCCCGCAGCCCCACCAACATCCCAGTCAGTTCGGGGAGGGGCGTATAGGGAGGGGCTTGTCCCCTCTGTCCCCACCTCGCTGGGGTCCCACTTACTGAGGTCCAGCTCCGGCCTGTCCCGTGGCAGCGATGCCGACCTGCCCCTCCGCGTGGGTGCGACCCCGGGGGCCACCCTGCCCCGCGCCGGGGGGCTCAGCTCCCTGCGGAGGGGACAGAGATGCTGTCACCACCCAGACCCTCAGTGTCCCCACCCGCCCAGCTGCCGGTCCCCCCAAGCCCAACCTCTCCCTGTCACAGCAGAGGTGGCACAGGCTGGGGGTGTCCCCACGCCCCTGGGACAGGGACACAGTGCCGCCCCCCAAGTCCCTCCTGCCACCTACCCCGAGGGTGCTGCGTCCTGGGGGGACGATGGGGCGCTGCCCACGGGTTGTCTCCTGGCCGGGGTGACACGGGGAGTGGCTTTTCCCTCGGGATAGCTGCGGGAGCGGTGCAGGGTCTCCTCCAGCCGCCGCCGCAGCCGCCACACCTCCTCCCGCAGCTCCCGGATGGCCTGGCTGTGCGGGACAGAGGCCACGCTGAGGGGCGTCTGCAGCCAGCAACGACCCCAGCAGGGCTGGGGGACCTGGGGGAGGATCAGCCCCATCCTCCCAGACCCCCCCATCCCCACTACCAGCACCAGTAGCTGTGAGGCTCCCCCAAAACCAAGCCTGGGGTTCCAGCCTCAGGCACCACATGTGTCATGAGTCTGGATGGCTCAGCCCCAGCGAGGTCCCGGCTCTCCAAGAAGGGGAACCTGCTGCTGCCCAGCAGAATGTGGGGGTGCCTTTGGGGGGGTCCCTGTGCCACCCAGGGGGAGGTTTGGCCCGGTTTGGGGTTCCACGGACACTCACTCTCGCTCCAGGCGGGAGCCCAGCAGGTCACAGCGAGCCGGGGTGAGGGACGGCGGGTCGGGGGACAGGAGGGTGGGGGACGGCGTTTCAGGGGATGGTGGGGGGCTGGTTGGGGCTGGGGAGGGAGGGACCCTCCTGGCCATGGTTGGGGGGTGTCCACTGGTGCTGGCACAGCTCCCGTCTCCCACCTCCGAGTCCGTGTGAGCTGCGGAGCAAAGGGAGTACAGTGAGTCAAGGTTGGCAGCGTGAGAAATGGGGGTGTTCCTCCCGCCTCAGGAGAGAGAATCTCAGGAGACACCCCCAGTCCTGCACCCAAAGGGGTTTGGGAACACCATAAACCAGAGCGTCTCCCCCTCCCCAGGGCCAGGGCCCCCCCCAAATCTCTCTCCCTGTGGACTCGTCCCTCCCCAAACGCTGCCTACTCACCTCCGTCGCCGCCGGGGTCGGGCCCCGCCTCGCTGCCCGCGCTCTCGGCCCAGCGAGGGGGGGAACTGCTCTGCGAGGGGGTGCTGGGGGGCAGGCAGGGCCCCCCCGTGCCCCCCTGCCCTCCCGCGGGGTAGATGCCCATCAGTGCTGTCTCGGAGGGAAGCGGGGTCGTCTCTCTGTTCCGTGGGGAACGGAGGGTTGTGGGGATGGGGATGGAGGGTCCCAGCAAGCCGGGGGTCCTGGGGATGAGAGAGGTCATGCAGGGAGCCCTCATGGCTCACCCCCCAGCCATGGGGCACTCTGCCCATCTCCAACCCCCCCGTACCCTCTCCCTGCGCCCCACGGCCGTGAAGCCTCTCCCCCCATCCCTGCTCCTCTTCGATCCCTCGCCGACAGAGCCGACAGCCCGTGCCCCCGAATTCCCGAAGGCAGGTGCGGGGGCCGTACCCGGTGCCAGGGGGGCGGTGCTCGGGGGTGCGCACGGGGGGTGACACCCTGCTGGCCTCCGAGCCCACGAAGCCGCTGTCAGTCTCTGGTGACACGATGCGCTGCTCCTTCAGGGGCACGGGGACAGCAGGATCGGTGCTGAGCACCCCAGGAACCCCGGCAGGGTCTGGGGGTGCTGGCAGGGGGGCACCCATGGGATTCACCTTGCGGGGCCCGTGCTGGGGGGCAGCGCTGCCCGTCCCGCTGCTGCAGCGGGACAGGGGTGCCCGTGGTGGTCCGGGGGCCACCAGGTGGGGCTTGGCAGTGGCTGGTGGCTCCTCAGAGATGGCAGGGGATGGGTGGCCCCGTGACCCCTCTGCCTTTGGGGGTCCCCTGGAGGGCAGCAGTGCAGCTTTTCTCTCCGGGGGATGCCTGTGGGGGAAGGGATGGAGAATGAGGATGAGGCAGAGCAACCCCGAATGCGGGGAAACCCCTGGGGCAGCAGCTCTCCCGTGGAGATCATGAACTCTGAAGCCAGTGAGGCAAAACAGGAGCCCGGATGGCAAATTCCTGCTCACCCTGCCTAGGAATTCGTTCTCCCTCAGCACTTACAAGGGGAAGGTCTCCAGGTCGGCCCCCTCCTCCAGTGACCGTGTCCTGCAGGCGACCTTGCCGGGGTCACCGTCCCCTGCTGCAGGAGCATCCACCTCCTCCTGGGACCCGCTCCCCGTCAGGCTCAGCTGCTCCAGGCTCAGCGACTGCGGCAGGGACTTGAAGTGCTTGTACCTGGGGGGGATCACAGGGTGGTTTCGGGGAGATGCTCCCTGCCCGAGCCCCTCCCACGCTGCCCCGAAGGCACTCACTGCTCCAGCAGGTCCGCGAAATCCTCCTCCACCCGGAGCTGCTTGTGCCAGAGGGGCCAGGGCAGCCCCCCCCTCACTCCCTCGTTGTCCCCCGCTGTCCCCAGGGGACCGTCCATCAGCTCAGGGCTCTGCAGGGCACAGCAAAAGGGGGGGTCGAGAGGCTTGACACCCCCTAGCTGCAGCAGGGTACCCCATCCCAGCACCTTTGCACCCCAGCTCACCTCGGGGCAGGGGGAGTGGGGGGCCGGCGGTGGGGACGGGGCTGGGGGGCAGCGGGGCTGCGGGAGGGGCTGCGGAGGGGACTGTAGGGGGGGCTGCCGCCTGTCCCCCGGCTCCAGCCGCTCCTTCAGTCCCTCCAGGCGCAGCCCCAGGCGGTAAATCTCCTCTTCTACCGCCCTGAAAGACATCGGCCATCAGTCCCGGGGGGGGGTTACAATGACTCCCGAGGTTATGGAAGAGGGGGCCGTGGGGGTCGAGCACGTACCGGTCAGGATCAAACCCCCCCGCAGCCCCCGGGAGCTGCTGCCGGCCCCGCAGGTATTCCCGCTCCAGCGCATCCTGCGCGTCCTTCAGCAGCCTCATCCTCTGCGGCACAAGGAATGCGGGGTCCGACCCTGCCCACTCGGCATCGGGCCCCAAAACCCACCCTGGTCCCGCCCCGGGCTGGGGGTCCGGGAAGGGGCTGACACACCTGGAGCTGCTCCGAGGGTGGGGGACTCCCCACATGGATCCATCTTTCGAAGGACTCCACCTGGCCGGGAGAGCACGGGCTGAGCCCGGCCCTGCAGCAGTCCCCCCTCTGCAGGTCCCCTCAGCACCCCCCTGCACCCCCTCCCCACTGCCCCCATCCAAAGCCTCCCCCCAGCTGCACTCCCGGTAACACCCCCGTCCCCAGCCCTCCCCCAACAGCCCATTTTCCCGCAGCCCCTTCCATATCCCCCCTCCACTATCCCCCTCAACACCCCCCCCGGCTCCCCACAGCCCTCCAGCAGCCCCCACCCCTGCAGTCCCCCATAGCCCTTCTCCCCACAGCCCCCTTGCGGCCCCCCCAGACCCCTCCAGTAACCCCATGAACACACCCCCTCCCCACATCCCCCCAAAAGCCTCCACTCCTGCAGCCCCCCCATAGCCCTCCTCCCCACAGCCCCCCAGCAGTCCCCTCAACAGCCCACCTTGCCACCTGAAGTCGCCCCCCCAACACACTCTCGCCCCACATCCCTCCAGCAGCCCCACCCCTGCAGACTCCTCAGCCCTCCTCCCCCAGGACCCCCAGTACTCCCCCCAAAACCCCTCCCCGCAGCACCCCTCATATCCCCCTCCAGTCGCCCCCCAACACACCCCCTCCCCACGTCCCCCCAATAGCCCCCACCCCTACAGCACCCCGCTGTTTGCCCCCTCCAGTCCTCCTCCCCGCAGCCCCCCCCCAGCACCCTCTTAACAGTCCCCCTTCCCACAGCCCCATAGCTGCCCACAACTCACCCCCCAACCTACAGCAGCCCCCACCCCTGCAGACCCCCCTACACTCCCCCCAAAACCCCTCCCTGTGACACCTCCCAGATCCCCCTCCAGTCACCCCAATAGTTCCCCTCCAGCCCCCACCAGCCCTCTCCCCAACTGCCCTTCTCCCCACAGCCGAGGGGCTCCAGGAGCCCCCCAGTAACCCCCTCCCACTCACCCTCCTACAGCCCCACAGCAGCCCCCACCCACTCAGCCCTCTACAGCCACCTCCACAGTCCCCCCTCCCCGCAGCCCCCCAGCACTTTCCCCGCAGCCCCCCTCCCTACAGCCCCACGCAGACCCTCCCCAAAGCCCCTCCAGCCCCCCTGCAGCCCCCCCGGTCCTTGCCTGTGCCTGCAGCCTGCGGCTCTGCCCCGCCAGTGCCCGGGTGAGCCGGGGGCCGGGGCAGCAGCACGGCCCGGGGCAGTTGGGGCAGCCCCCCCCGGGCGGAGGGGGGGATCGGGGGTGGGGTGAACCCCCCCGATTTGATGGTCCCGGTGCTGGAGCTGCGAGAAAACACGAGGACAAGTGACTCCGGGGACCCCCCCCCCCCCGCACTGTGAGGAGCCCGTGGGTGTTGGGTGAACATCCCGCAAAAAAACGGAGCAGGAGGGGGATGAGATGGACGGAAACGTGGATCAACCCACCTCCAGCTGGCGAGGTGGAGGCTGTGGCCGTGGCCGTGCCAAGAGCTGCCATCCGGGCTTGTGGGATGCTGAGGGTCATCACACGGCAGCCGGTGCCCACGGTGCCCATGGCCAGGCTGCGGCTGGGCTGGGGTGGGTCCGAGAACAGGCTCACCTGGGCACGGACGACGGTTCAGGCACCCACCCTGCACACCGGCACCGCCCACCCACCGTGCCCTCGGGGCACCCTGAAGCACCTCGGGTGTGGAGGGGGCACGGCCCTGCCTCAGCTTCCCCCCCACGCAGGGCAGGAGGTGGCAGAGGTGACACGGGGACACGCTTCCGCCGGTGGCCCTGCCATCTCAGCGACGTGCCTCGCCATTTTAGGGACACTCTGGCTCAGCCGCCCCCCTGGCACGGAGTGGACCCCATCACGAGGGGGGCGCGGTGGCCCCCGGTTTGCTGTGGGCTCTGCGGTGGCCTCACCCCTCCCTCCCTGGGCCGGGCTTGCTCAACCGCAGCTCCCCCGGAGGAGGAGGAGGAGGGGGCCGGGGGAGGAAGACACGCTGAATAACCTCAGGGAGGGAGGAGCAGAGTGGGGGACCCCCCCACAGCCACCCCGACCCCACACCCACCCTCGCCCCCAGGCGCAGCTGGTCGATGGTGTTCTCAGCCTCGGCGTACTTGGTCAGCAGCTTGTGGTAGTCGTCCTGCAGGGAGGGGACACCAGTGGGGGCCAGCACCCGGTACAGGGGGGACGGCAAAGGGGGGAGGCAGCCCTGTGTGAGGACAACAGGCCTGGGGGGGGTCCTATGGGTGGGTGACACTCTGGAGTGCAGAAACCCGCCCCCCAAAGCACCCGGCCCGTCTGGGGTAGATTTGGCCCCCGTTTGGTTGTGTGAGGAGGGCCCCCCTCTACTCCCAGGGGACAGGAGGGCATCGCAGGGGACATCCTGGGGGAACACGAGCATCCCTGCCTCTAGCCTGAGCACTGCCCACATCCCTGCCTGCTTCTTCCGTCCTCCCCATGTAGGACTGAGAAGGGGTGCCCAGCACCAACCTCCCGTGGGTGACACAGCACCAAATCCCGTGGGTGACACAGCCCCAGGTCACGAAGCCGGTGACATCCCCATTTCACCACCCCCCCTTGCCCCCCCCGACCTCGGTGACCCTCCCAGTGCGACCTCTCTGGCCGAACTGGGAGGAGCTGGGCGTTACCTGGAGCTGCTGCACCAGCGCGGTGGCTTGTTTGGGGGACCTGAACTCCTGTGGCAGCCCGGCAGAGCTGAGGGGCTGCGGGGGGACCCCCTCCCCGCTGCTCAGCAGCACCTCCCGCACGATTTCGGCCGGGGACTTGAAGCCAACGGGGCCACCGGGCACCCGGGGGCGGGCGGGCAGGACCCGGCCCCGGGGGGGGCGGTAGCTCTGGTCGAACTTCACCCGCGCCTCCACCTTGGACAGGTCGGGCAGGGGGTGGTTGAGGCGCCCGCGGCCGTACTGGGTGCCATCCGTGCCCGTTCCCGAGGGATCCCTGTGCCCTTTGCCTCCTGTTCCCCGCCGGGGGCTCAGGGACCGCGACTGCCGGGTGGGCTCGGGGGGCACCACCGTGGGCGCCGCTTTTTTGGGTACCCGGGACCTGTCGTGCAGTTGGGGTGTTGGGGGGCTCCCGGCGCCCTGGGGCTCCTCCGGGGGTGCCAAGCCAGTGGTGCCAGGGGCTGTTTGGGGCTTGGGGACAGGCTCGGGGCTGGTGGCATCGCGGGGGTCGTCGGTGGAGAGAGGCAGTGGGAGGCTCCGCCTCGGGGTCCACCCCTGCCCGTGCCCCCCAGAGGTGCCCCCGGCTGTGCCCCAGCCCCGGGGCCGGCGGGATGGGGTGGCAGGGCCAGGGCTGGTGTCCGACAGCGCCGAGGTGTCCCCACCATCCGTGCTGCAGCCGCGGGACTGGTGGAGAGCCCGGTGCTCCCGCAGAGCCTCGGGGCTGCCGCTGGACCCCGAGCCCCACCGGCCCTCGCAGGAGAGCTCGGGGTAGGGTTCCCCGTCACTCTCTGCCCCCCAGGGCCCCTCGTCCCCCCCGGAGCTGCCCCGCTCCTCGTCCTCCTCCGCCAGGTCCTGCTGCGGGTGCCAGCGACCCTCCTCCATCGGGGACCCCTCCTCCGGCTCATCCCCGTCACCTGCAGAACACCAGCGGCGCGGGGCTGCTGCCAGCCGGACCCAGACGGTGCCCCCACCCCTCCCGGAGCCCCCCTTGGCTCCAGCACATCTGCGACCACCCCCACGAGGGGCTTTGGGCAGGAGGGAGGGGACGACTCACCCCACGGTGGGCTCCCGGCACCCTCCCCCAGGCCGATGACCCCGTCCTCGTCCATCCGCCTCTCAAAGTCGTCTTCTTCCTCCTCCTCCTCCTCGTCCTCTCCCTCCCAGGGCGTCAGCTCTGTTTGTGTGCAGTGCAGCCATGGTGCCGGGCTGGCCATGGCCGCGGGCACGGCGGCCCTGTCACTTGTGCCGCTTCATGGCCCGATGGTGGCGGCGGGCTGGGGACCTCCTTGTCGCGAATGTAGGTCACAACATCGCCACCGCGTCCTGGGGGGGGGAGGGAGGGGGGCGAGGGAGAGGGAGGGATGTCAGCAGGACATGGTGGGCTCTGTTTGGGGTGTGTTTCCCCACTGCCAGGGCTTCCCCTGCCCCCCAAACCCAGGGGAAGAGCAGCGTCCCGTGATGGGGGGACACCCTCGGATCAGCCCCCTGGCTCTGCATCCCACCATGGAGCGGGAGCTGCCACATAACTCACAGCTCGTGGTGCCCTGAGGTCCCTGTGGGGAAGGAGCCCCCCAGGGCCACCCCAAAAAGCTTGTCCCCTCCCAGGGAACACCCAGCCCATGCTGGCACCCTGTGGATGTCACCCCAGATGGGCGGCCACAGCCTGGGGACCATCAGCGGTACCGTCACCGTGTAGGATGGTGCCGAGGGAGACAGGAGCATCCCAAAACCCCTCTGGATCTGGGGGGCTGACAGTGAGTGGGATCACAGCAGAGACCTGGCACACTCATTCCATGGATAACCCAAGAGCACAAGCTCCCCCTCACCCCCTCCTGGGGTTCCCAGAGCCGCAGCAGCAGCTCGAGAAATGCCGGATGTCCAAACCCCAATGTGGGGTGTGTAGCAAGAGAGGCCACGGGCTTCTCCCATCAGCATCCCCTTGGGTAGATCAGAAACCCACCCCCCCAATTTTGGCCAAAAACCAGGTGCAACCAGCCCCATGCAGGGGACACTCACCCTGTGTCAGGACACCCCCATCACTGTGAGCCCACCTGGGGTCCCCAAAGTGGCATCACTCAGAGCACCCCAAAACCTTCCTGTGCCTGTGGGGCAGCTGAGCCTTTGCAGAAGTAGGAAATGGTTCTTCCTGCAAGTTTGCAGGCAGCCACCAACTTTGTAACCCCATCCGGCCCTGCGCAGTGGGGGCTGAACCCTCCTCCCACAGCCATTTTCCATCCAAAACCTTTTAGTTTTTAATCAAATTCAGAGCAAAACGCTGCAGGAAAATAGGGGAGGGGGATCCCTGGGACCAACAGCCTCCAGAGGACATCAGGATGAGGGTCTGCCAGGAGACACAAAATTAAGCCTTAAAGCCCCAACATTCAGCCAGCTGGACCCTCCCCTTGGAATTTCCAACCCTCTCCGGATTTCCAAGGGGGGGTATCCACCTGCCCCCCCCACCCCGAGATGCTGCTCACAACCCCAGGGATGCTGCAGCCATACCCAGGCACCATGGCATGTCCTGGCACATTTGCAGGCAGCCAATTAATCAGCTCGTTACTGTGTAATTAGTGGCACGCGTGGGAGAGCTTGACGAGCTAATGAAACCACAGCACAGTCCCTGGGGTGGCTGCCTTTAGCCAGAGGGTGATTTTGGGGTGCTGCTGGCTCAGGGGTGGTGGTGATGAGCAGCAAACCTACCACATGATCCGGGAAAAGTCCCCTAATCCACTCCCAAGCCTCAGATCTACAATTTTTTTGGCTATTAGTGAGGGTTTGGGGGATTATTTTCCAGTGCCACCTTGTTCAAGGTCCTTGGGCATCATCCTTGCAACTCATTCCCAGCCCAAGCTCCAAGGAGCTCCAAGCTCCTGCATCTTTGGGGTGTTCCAGGCGGGGAGCAAACCCCAAATCATCCCTTAGGGTTTTGCAAACCTCCTGGGCCGTTTGCATGAGGTTTTTCCCCACATACAGACTGGATAACTCCATTCTCCACACCTGGAGATGCTCCACAGCTTCTCCTGCCACCAGGGCTGCCCATGGGATGCCTCAGGCCCTGCACTAACACAGCTAAAGAGTGATTTTGGCTTTAGCCCCTCTCTGAGCTGGGGTGTTTCTAGTCCTAAACCCTGAATCACATCCCAATCTGGAGATGGGGCCTGGAGATCCCCACCAAAGTTCCTCCCATCCCACCTCAAGCCCCTCAGCATCCCAGAGTGATGAGGAGCCCAAACACCACCCCTGGGGGTCCCAGAGGGCTGGTGGGGGGAGAAAGGAGATTGTGAGTCCTGTTTTCTTGCAACAAAGAGGGTTAAAACATTTCCCACCCGGTTCTGGCAGTTCTTTAACCCCATATTGGATATTTTGGGTCTTTTTTTGGGGGGAGGGTTGAAGAAGGCCATGCCCAACCCACACTGTCACCCCATTTCTGAGCAGTGGTGCCCAGGCTGCACTGCCCACAGCAGTCACAGTCTGCAGGAGCCACTTCCAAATCCAACCACATTTGCTGCTTTCCCAGAAAGTCCCTCCACTGATGGTCATGGTGGTAAGAAAGAAAAATCTTGGCTTTTGTTTTTTTTTTTTTGTTTTTTTTCCTTCCCCCTTTAAGTGAGTTTCTCACTGTTATGGGAGCACAGAAAAGCTTGAAAAATAATGTGGTTCCATAAACAGGAGCCACAAAGCAAATGCAAACAATCCCAATATTTATTATTTTTTTAAAGTTTTGCTCTTTGAAAGCTGGGATTTTGCAACAACGTAATTGGAAAAGGAGCTGAAAAAGAAATTGAAAAGCCTCAACAAGAAAAAGTCTTGCACCCCTGAACAAGAAAAAGTCTTACACCCCTGAACTCTGCTCTGCCCTCAGCCCCCTTCCTGCCCTCCAAATCTCAGCCAGGGCTGTCCCAAATCGTGGCTCAGGGTGGAGGTGCTCGGCAGAGGGAGGGGATGCTCACAGCAGTCACGAGTGCTGCCAGGTCTCCGCTCGGCCTGTAGGCAGGAGGGGTTGTGTCTGCCTGTCCCTGCCCTCAGCTCCTGATCCCTGATCCTGCCTGCAGGCAGTGATCCCATCCCTGTCCTGCTCCCTGTGGGATAGACGGAGGTGGGAGGCTGAGACTGCCCAACTCATTACACGTGTGAGGCTGACAAACAGCGGCACAATCAAGGCCAGCACGGATCCATCCTCGCTCCCGGCTTTATCAGTGGTGACAGCAGAGGAGACAGAGCATCCTCCGCCCCGGGGCTGGCTGGGTGACAGGGAGGGGGGGACAGGGCTGCTGTCACTCTGCCTTCACTGCCCTGTCAACCCTGGGCAGAGCAGGCGGGTTGGGGGGGCTCTAAACCCCACATCTCCATCCCCACGGCCCCTGAGCGATGGGGGATAACCCTCCCTCCCTGTGCCCCAAAAATCACTTGCCTGGGAAGGGGGTTAAAGCCCCCCTTGCACATCTGTGCCTGTCTGGGATGCAGGGGGTCCCCAGACCCCCTTTAACCCCCGTCCTGGGCGAGGGATGGATATTTTGCATCTCTTTTGGGGAGGTTTGGAGGAGGCCAGAACGGCCTCAGGCTGGAACTTGGCAAGGGGTGTCTGCACTCCAGGGGGGAGGAATTCCTGGTGTATAAACCCTTTTTTAAAGCCCACAGAGTCCCGTTTTTCTGAGCATGAAAGAGGGCAGAGGAGCGGAAACGCCGCGTTCTTGGTTTGCATTATTTCCTACCAGAACAAGGGAGGGACCGTCACAGTGAGGAAGAGCCTCACAAACCCCCTTGTCCTCTCAAAGAACACACGCCTGTCACCACACCAGGGCTCTAAAGCCCACGTGTCACCCAAATTCCACTGCCTGGAGGGGCCAAACCTTCCCCCAAGTCCCCCACGCTGGCATATCCCCATGGAGAGGTACTAAAACCCCGGGAAACGCATCTCTCCATCACTTGCCCCGAAGTGAAGCCCCACGGCAGGACAGGGAGCTCCTGCGGCCGTTTTCCTGCCTCCTCCCAGGCACGGGGATCCTCCTGTTCCTCCTGGGGACAGCCCAGGTGTCCCCCCCGGGGCTGAACCCGAGCATACCTGCAGCAGCCGGGGGTGGATGTGCCCTAATGCCCGTGAAGGACAGACTTAATCCCTGTCTGGAGAGAGCTGCCGCTGTCACCGCGGCACAGCCGGTGGCACTGGGAGCCCTAATTAGCACAGGGCAGGGAAAGGTGGCGGGGACACGGCAGGGACACCTCCCACTATCCCGGCTCGCTCCAAGCCCCGTCCAACCTGGCCTTGAACGCTTCCAGGGATGGGGCAGCCACAGCTTCTCTGGGTAACCTGTGCCAGGGCCTCCCCACCTTCACAGGGCAGAATTTCTTCCCAAAATCCAGTCTTAACTTCTCCTTCAGTTTAGTCATTCCCTCTTGTCCTGTCACTCCATCCCTTTCCCGAAGTTCCTCTCCAGCTCTCTTGGAGCCCCTTTAGGCACTGGAAAGGGCTTTAAGGTCTCCCCGGAGCCTTCTCTTCTCCACGCTGAACACCCCCCAGCTCTCCCAGCCTGTATGAACAGTGCGTGGAGTCCCTCCCCCTCCGCGAGTCCTTAAAACATCCCCGCCCGGGAGGCACTGAAAGGGTGCTGCAGAACCGGCACCCACCGGCTATCAGAAACACGGCTGCCCTTTAAATAAAACACGGAACTGAAGCTGAAAGCTGCCCTTGCGACTTCCTCGGAGGAGCCTCCGGCAGCGGCTCGGCCCCGTGTCCCGCAGCCCCCGCCGAGCCCCGGCAGCGGCTCCGAACCGCCCCCGCAGCCCCCGACGGACCCGCCCGGAACCTTCCGGGCCCGGCGGGGAGGAGGCACGGCGATGAGGAAAGTTATGACAAGTTTCCCCGGGGCCACGAAGGCTCGGATGGCGTGGGGAGGACACGCCTCGGCGAGGAGCGGCGTGTCCCGCATCCTCCTGCTGCCTCCCGCATCCTCCCGGCGCGTCCCGTCTCCTCGGCCGCAGGGACTCCCCGCGGGCCTGTGAGTCCCCCCCGCTCCTCCTGGAGACCCCAACCGGCTCCCAGCTGCCTAAGCCGGGCTTAGAGCGCTGGATGCGCCCGGGGAGGGCTGGATGCGGCCCCGGGGATGGAGCCAGCCCCGCGGGCCCCCGGGCTGTGCCTCCAGCTGTGCCTCCAGGGGCGCCGCGGGGCCCCCTCCTCCTCTTCCCCGCAGCAGGGAGCAGCCGAGCCATTCCCGGCCCCCCCGGGCACAGCTGGGGCACATCTGGCCCTGGGGCACCGCTGGAGGTGCAACCCCCCCTCCCACTCCAACCGCGAGCGCCCCGCGCTGCCCACCTGCAGGGAGAGCCCGGGTGGCCCCGGCCCCGATCCTGATCCTGATCCTGATCCTGATCGCGGTCCCGGTCCCGATCCGATCCCGATCCCGATCCCGGTCCCGCCGGACAATAGCGCGGCCCGCGGCGGGGGGCGTGTCCTCCGCTCATTAGCATACCCGCCGCTCCCGACCAATCCGCGCCCGCCGCCGGGCAGGGAGCGGGACGTCGTTAGCATAAGCCCCGCCCTCCACTGTATTTGCATAGCGCGCGGCGCGCGACCAATCAGAGCCACGGAAGAAGGGCCTCATTTAAATAATTTAAGCAGCGCGGGCGCCCCCTGGCGGAGCGCTGCTGCGCCTGTGCATCCTCCGGGATCGCTGGGATGGGATGGGATGGGATGGGATGGGATGGGATGGGATGGGATGGGAATGGGGTCGGGACAGGGATGGGATGGGATGGGAATGGGCACAGGATGGGGATGAGGAAGGTCTAAATGAGGGTGGGGATGGGACGGAGATTGCAATGGCAGGGGAATGGGAATGGGGATGAGTTTGGGGATGGGACTGGGGATGGGCATCCCCTCCCAGCCCACCAGAATCGCACTCCCACCTGCTCTGCCCGTGCTGGGGAGTCACGGAGGCACCACTGCCCCTTCCTATCCTCCGGGGATCCCTGGCAGGGATTGGGATGAGGACAGGGAGGGGATGGAGATGGGAAGAGAATGAGATGGGATGGGAATGAGACAGGGATAAGACTGGGATGGGAATGGGGGTGAAATCGGGATGGGGTGGGATGGGATGGGATGGGACAGGGATGGGATGGGATGGGATGGGGCTAATATGGAGCATTCCCTCCCAGCCCACCACCACCACACCCCCACCTGCCCTACAGGCCCTGGGGAGCCCCACAGTCACCCCTGTCCCCTCCTCCCCCCCATCCCAGCCCCCAAGAACCCCCCCAACCACAGTCCTTTTCTACCCTGATAGATTTATTGAAAAATTAAAAGCACAAGCTCTGTATATATAAATACGACGACGTTGCCAGCGATTTACAAGGCCTCCAGTTGCTCTCTCTGCCTCCCCACCTGTGGCCTGTGTCACCCCCCTGGGCACAGGGGGTGAGCACCCAAGGGAGTGGCCACCACCCAAAACCCCTCCAGCCTGAGCCACGGGCCCGCCTTGCTGTGTGTGTGGCACTCAAATGACAGGGGGGACACCCAGACCTCTGCCGTCCTCCTGCCCGGCCGAGGGGGAGAGGGTGGTTTCCCTACCCCAGACAGGACAGGGTGGAGACTTTTGAGGGACGTGCAGTGATTTCTGCCCATTCTCAGCCTGCCCTACCCAGGCAGCGAGTCCACAGCGGGCGAGGGGACATCTGGGGACAAGCTGGGGGTGTCTGCGTGCGCGGGCTCTGCGCGGCGGGACCTCGCTCACACCTCGGCGCTGTCCTTCATCCCCGTCCCACTCCACGCTCCCAAAAGCCATCCCTAAAGGGCCACGTTGAATTCTGTGACCAAGAAGTCAATGTAGTCCTTGTCCTTCAGCTTGAAGGCCTCGGCGATGATGCGGGCGGCCTCCCGGTGCTCTTTGCCTCGCAGGCCCGTGCCGTTCACCTCCAAAATGACGTGGCCCACCTTCAGCTTCCCACAGTTGTGTGCCGACCCCCCACGCTGCAGGAGAGAGGTGGTCAGCTCACCTTCCCACCATCCCTCCTTTGGGCCAACCCAGGTGGTTTTTGGGGGGAAAAAAAATGGGATATATTTCATATCGCTCATGTTCACCCCGAACCGGCAAAGGAACGTGATGGATATGAGATATTTCGCTTTTTGGAGAGAGGGGATGAATTTGGCTCCCCTCCTGATTGCTCCTGGAGCGTGGCGCCAGCTGGGGTGGCCAAGAATAACCAAGGCACAGTCAGCTCTGCTTTTCTTTTGCTGTAAATAACTTGAAATTTGCCCCAAGTAAACAGCAAACAGGGAGACAGCTCTGGAGGGCTCACTTGTCTGGCTCTCATCCACCACTCCCCCCCCCCAGTCCTCTGTCTGGGAGTTTCCAGACATCTGGAGACACCAGCCAAGCTTTCAGGGCTGCCCTGACTCCCTCTGAAATGTCTGCAGCAAATCCTTGGCTCCCAGGATGTCTGTTACGATGTGGGATCATCCACAGGACACGGATGCAAACCCCCACAGCAGGATGATGGCTGGGGATGTGCAGGGCTGTAGGAGGGGGAGGCACCCCTCAAATCCCTCCTCTGCTCTGGCTGTGGCTCAAAGGCTTTCCCAGCCTGCTCAGGGAGCAGAGGGATGGGATGTCCATGGAGTTATTCCCGTTCCCAGCCCGCCCTACCTGGATGGTGACGATGCGGGGCAGCGGCTGCCGCGTGTTCGCTCCGCCCTCGATGGCGATGCCCAAGGTGGGAGCGCTCTTGGACACCCGGATCAGACACGACGTGGGCTCCAGGAGCCCTGGCTGTGGGGAGAGAGGGCACTGCTGAGGGAGGCTGGACATCATGTGCCTGCCACACTCCCTGAGGTGTCCCAGAGCAGGCAGGGACACCCACGGTTGGCTGTCACCGCAGAGGGACAGACACATTTGCTCCCTGATTCTTGACATCCAAGATCCCAACCATGGGCAGGGCTGGAAGAAGTTGAGGAAGAGCAGAGCAGCTCTCTGCCTGCCTACCTACAGCACCATCAGAAACCCCCTGATACCTGCTGCCACCTTCCCTTCCAGGCTACAGGTGACTTCGCTGCACCCTGGGGATGTTCCCCCAGAGCCAGGGATTCTGCCATGCCCCCTGTAGCTGGGAGGGACTGGATTTACCCAGCATGGAGAGAATCAGCCCTACAGAGCCCCTTTCAGCCACTCCTGACCCCCTTCCCCACAGCTCACCCCCCCAGAGAGCTCACTCAGCTCACTACAGAGGATAAATAACCCACCAAAGCACAGCAGAGCAGTTGTTGCCCGGTGGGGAAGGGGGAGCAGAACTGGCTGGATGAGGCAGTGGGGGACAGCCCCAGGTGCCCCCTCCCACAGCCAGCAGCCCCCCCGGGCCCTCACCGGCTTGGAGGCCCCTTCAGCCGCCCCCTCGCTCCTCGCGGCCTCCTTGAGGCTCCGGCTTTTCCCAGGGCCCGGCTGCCGGCTCTTGTCCTTGCCGCTGCTCTCGAGCTCCCCGATGTCCACCCCGCTGTCCTCGCTGAGGGTCTGCCCGCTGTCCGACAGCTGGGAGAGCGTGGAGGCTGGGGAGACACGCGGGTTAGAGGGCGGGCAGCGCGGCCCCGGGGCCGGCCGGGCATGCACGGGGAGAGGGCAGATCCCAGGGCCGGGCAGATCCCCTGGGAATGACACCTGGCCTTCGGGGCCAGGCTCCCAAATCATGGAACTGCTTAGGTTGGAAAAAACTTCTAAGTAAACTCAACCATTCCCCAAGCACTGCTGAGCCCACCACTAACCCACGGGATTGTAAATAGGGGGAGGTGAATGATTTTACATCAGTGGCTGCCATAGAACAGAGAGTCATTTGAGTTGGAGATGATCTCCAAGGTCATCGAGTTCAGCTGTTCCCTGAGCACTGCTGAGCCCACCACTAGCCCATGTCCCCAGGTGCCACATCTACATGGCTTTCAAACCCCTCCAGGGACGGGGACTCCACCACAGCCTGTCCCAATGCCTGACCACCCTTTCACTGACGAAATTTTCACTAATATCCAACCTGAACCTCCACAACTTGAGGCAATTTTGTCTTGTCCTGTCACTTGTTACCTGGGAGAAGAGCCCGACCCCCACCTGGCTGCACCCTCCTGGCAGAAGGACCGAGCTGTGCACTTGTCAGGGGACAAGTGGCCTCATACTCAGGTCCAGGATCCAACCCAGATCCCAAATTGGGATGGAGGGAGAGAGTGATGAGTCCTGGGTTCCCGCCCGTTTATCCAGACCATGCTCCACGTGGGAGGAGACTGGGACGGACCCGAGCAAAGAGGTGCTGCCATAAAGGAGCTTTCTCGTCTTGGAGAATACAGACTCCAAGCGCAGATGGAGACTGTGGGAATGCCGGGAACAGCGGTACAGCTGCACCCGCGGGGAGCGCGGGGTGTCCGGGACAGCGGCTCTGGCACTCGGAGGAGTCGAGGTCCCACTGCGGGCACCCCCCGGGCAGGACCTGGCCCTCATTAATGAACCCTCATTAACCGCGGTTAATGAACCCATTGCAGGGACGGGACGGGGCCACAGGAGGGCGACATTGCCACTCGTGTCGGTCCCACAGGGCGGGGGGTGCCGGGGATACCCCCAGGACCCTCCGGGCACCCCCGGGACCCCCCTTCCTTCTTCATCTGCGAGTGATCTCCCGGGACACTCTTCCCTCTGTACCTCCGAGGGACCCCACGGGACCCCTTTCCATCTCCGGGGGACTTTGTGGGACCACACTCCCTCCTCTCCACCTCCGAGGGACTCCCTCGGACCCCCCTTCCCTCTCCATCTGCGAGGGACATCCGCCCCGTACCCCTTTCCCTCTCCACCTCCAAGGGATCCCCTGGGATCCCCCTGTACCCCCTTCCCTCTCCATTGCCGAGGGATCCCCCTGCACCCCCTTCCTTCTCCATCTCCGAGGGATCCCCCTGCACCCCCTTCCCTCTCCATCTCCAAGGGATCCCCCTGTACCCCCTTCCTTCTTCATCTCTGAGGGGTTCCCAGGACCCCACTTCCTCTCCATCTGTGAGGGATGCCCTGGGACCCCCCTTTCCTCTCCATGCCCAAGGGACCCCATAGCACTGGAAGGGGCTCTCAGCTCTCCCCAGAGCCTTCTCTTCTCCAGGTGACCCCCCCCCAGCTCTCCCAGCCTGGCTCCGGAGCAGAGGGGCTCCGTTTCTCTCTCGAGGGGCAGGTGCCACCCACCTCTGGCCTGGGGCAGGGGCCTCACTTCGTTGACGTCGGGCTCGCTGTTGGGCTGGTGCACCTCCACCATGATGAAGTGCTGGTTGGCCACGGCCTGGGGGCTGCCCTTGTCCGGGGGAGGGGGCGCTGGGTGGGCGGGAGGAGGAGGAGGGGAGGGGGATGGGGGGCTCTGGACCCCTCCAGCCTCAGGAGACGGGCTCTTCAACCTGGTGGGGGACTGGACCCTGGG